ACCTAAACAAGTTAGGTTTACCTTTATTAAAGATTTTTATGTATTTATTCATAGCATTAAGGAATGTATGTGATGAACTATCCATGGAAAGTATTTTACTATAGTGTGTTTATCAAGTAACCTAATATATAATTCTTATATTTTTCTACTCAAAGCTAATTATGAACTTAGGTTACACTGATATTTACTTCTTCTTCACCAGAACTGTGATATCATATTAGTAATTACTTCACTGTATACAAAGCAGAAGTGGTGTTATATATGTATGCGTGCTTCCACTCTATCACCGTCATCATCATCACTAATAATTCACATTCTAATTAACTAATTGTAAAGAGTAATATATGAAATATATCTTATCAACTGTATAATTTTATTTCCACCCTCACATATATTTCACCTTGTTAAGCAAAATGATAATAATAATATTAACAACAGTATATTCACCTTTCAATCATCACCACAATATGTAATAGGCATTGTGTTCCAGATGATAACAAAAATCTCTCACTACTTTTTTTGTTTTACAGAAAAATTTTGCTTATTTCAATCAAAAAGCATGCATACTACTGAGCGTGGTATTGAGTATTTTTTTTATTTTAGGAGTTGGTCACTTCAACTTCTATGGTATTCGGTTGCCAAATTAAGGTGATCTCTTAATGCATTGGCGCCTGTTTGTCTTATTTATAGGCAAGACTCTATCAGCAGCATAAGAGACGTGAATCACTGGAATGGATGTATAATACAGAGAGAATGCGACCAATTGTTTCTTTGAGTGTGTGTGTGTGTAAAAATGATACAGAATTATGTATTTTATTGCATTTTCGCCTACTTTTCTGTGATGGTATTTACATTTTTTTTCAAGTGGGTCATACATTATGAACTGAATGCTTTCAGTTTCTGAAGGGAATTTCAGCGAACATTTCACTTTTTAAAACAGTCTATTGTGTCAATAAATTTGTTCCATTCAACTCTCGAAATTGAATCTCTTCATAGTGCGTCGATGGCACAGCAGTTAGGAGTCTCGCCGACCATGCATATGGTCCGGAGTTCGATCCCTCGCCGACGCACACTCGATATCTATGGTTGGCCTGCAAAATTTGGGCTACCGATATCACATGCTGAAAATTCCATACTTGTACCAAAAAATACGGTGTGGAATCAAGCTGTAACCATAATTAAAGAAAAAATAAATATATGCGTTTTACGTTAACGTAATATTCCATTGACGCCTGGAAAGGAAACTGTTACCCAAACGATCCACAAATATAATTTAATTGGTGGACAGTGACTAGCAGTGGAATCCAGGATGCGCATTTCGTCCTATTTGGGACTCGCCGTCTGGACACACCTGCACTCCGTGGTGAACGATGATGTCCCCATCGAGGCTCGAACCAAGTGCCCATAGTTTCAAACGCCAAAGTGTCATCCACTAGACCACTTGGGCCACGAGAGCCACCTCTTGTGCAACAGGGCATATTAATTATTTAATTCACTTTTGGATTTCCACGTCGATTGATTGGATCGAAGTGCTTGGTCTCAGGTTGATATGTCGGCTTCTTGTGCAGGTGATTCACTAATACGCCTGAAGCTGCCACAGTATTGTTAAAACGCCTTGTGAATTCTGTCCAGGATAAATGGTTTAGACCTTGGTATCAACTGAATTCTCTCCGTGGAGAGTAGGTGGCAGCAATAATTCTTTTATAAATCAGTGATAAGATTCAGTCAGCATCATAAAATGGATAGTATGACGTCAATTACACTCCAAAGACCCGCTAATTGAACCTTAGATAAATATTTAGTGGATTTTTTAAGAAAATTTGTTTCTCGGTAAATATTTGCTGTTTGTATCAAATATATATATTCATGATATAGAAAGCCAGGTAAAATAATTATATTCACATCATTTAATTCGATTAAGAAGCTTTTATTGTTTCTTACTATCTAACACATCGGTGCAGAACTCTCTACATCAGTTCGATTTGTTATGTATCATCGGTTATCAGTAATGTGCGTCGGTGGCACAGTGGTTAGGACTCTCACCGACCATACACAAGGTCCGGGGTTCGAATCTCCTGCCGACGCACACCTGGTATCAATGGTCGGTCTACAAAATTTGGGCTACCTATATCACATGCTGAAAATTCCATACTTGTACCAAAAATACGGTGTGGAATCAAGCTATAATAAAAAATGACAAATATTTATGTATACATCTTTTAGAACATAAATTGAAAAGATAATTACAGTTTTACTTGAGCTGATAGTATATCACATTCATGCAATACTACAGTTTTGTTGTATATTGCTTAATTTAGTGAAATATGATGCACACTTGACTTTCAGTTAGTGTGAGTCCTGAAGTGCACATCACTCATTCGGCTTACTATGAATACAACTGCTACTTATGGGAAACCGAATATTTTAGTACTTGGATTGCAATAGCCTGTGTTACTAAGTTATACATTGAAGTAATGTGCGTATCTTCTGGAATAGAGGGCTAGTTTCGCATATGTCAGTTTACTCCGTCTCTAGTGTATACGTGATATCCGCCTATCGAGCGTGTGTACTGCCCAGCAGTGCACTCCGTCCCCCTATATGCCTGTGAAACCTGGCCATTGAAAGTAGAAGACATGAAAAGATTACCCGTCTTTGATCATAGGTACCTGCGTTCTATCTCTCATGTGAAGTGGTATAATAGGGTGACCAATATTGAGGTTAGGCCTAGGTCGAGTGCTAGATGAATAGAGGAAATCAATAGATGAGGTTGTGAAGCTACATCGACTGAGATGATTAGGAAATGTGTTACTCCATTATGGATAAGATTTTATTTTGATAAATCACACAGTGTTGTACAGTTATATTAACGGATGACGTTTCGAGCACAAACTATTGCCACTCATAATCATATCAAGTTACTCACACAACTTTCATTTATATACATGTGTGGACTCGATTAGATATTGGATTAAAAATCAATGTGAGATAATGTACATTCAGAAATAATAGTACGAGTGTTGTTGATCAACTGCAGTTAGATTGGAAAAAAGGACGAGTTTTAGAATATTTGAATTGAAATAGAATCTTAATATTATTTATTATCCTCTTCTGATTTGACTGGTTGTAATAATATCTTCCATGTTTCTGGTATTTGCATCGAGTCATTTCTGTTGCATGTGTTGGGTGTAGACTCGATAAGTAAGGATTCCGTGATCAATCTCTCTCTCCACCTACATAGATTACTTCTTAGAATTGCTCTGCAGGCTAAAAGACCGGTGTACCCAATTAAACAAAATAATATAATTTACAAAATACCTTGCAATGAATGACTATGAGGTCAACTATATACGTCAAACTAGTAGATCGAGGGTAAACAGAATATCGGAACACAAGAATTTAGCTAAGGTAAGAATGGTTGACCCTGAGAAGATAAGTAATTTAGAAAAAAGCTCAGCAATCGCACTGCATGCATCAATACACAACCACACAATAGGGTGAGAGAGGGTTAAGATTCTAAGAAGTAATCTATGTAGGTGGAGAGAGAAATTGATTACTGAATCCTGGTTCATTGGGTCTACACCCAACACATGCAGCGGAAGTGACTCAATGCAAATACCAGAAACATGGAAGATATTATTACCACCAGTCAAATCAGAAGAGAATAATAAATAAGAGAATAAATAATCTCAAAATTCTATTTCAATTCAAGCACATCACAACATTCTCACAAGTTACTTATTATGACTATAAAAACACTCGTATTATTGCCATCAGTCGAATCAGAAGATAATAAATAATCTTAAAATTCTATTTCAATTCAAACACATTCTAACAAAAAGCTTATTATGACTTTAAAAAACACTCGTACTATTATTTCTAAATGTACATTATCTCACATTGATTTTTAATCCAACATCTAATCGAGTCCACACATGTATATAAATGAAAGTTGTGTGAGTAACTTGATATGATTATGAGTGGCAATAGTTTGTGCTCGAAACGTCATCCGTTAATATAACTGTACAACATTGTGTGATTTATCAAAATAAAATCTTATCCATAATGGAGTTATACTCTACTAGCACAGTGCCTAAGTTTTATACTTATTTCAATAGGAAATGTGTTACGTATGCCTAGTCTTCGCCTACCTCGACAACAAGCAATGTTAGCTGACTGACATAGAACCAAGTTGGAAAAGAGCAAGCGGTGGTCGAACCAAAACATGGCACCAGTCCATGAAATGCACAACAGTTAGCTTAAGCCACATAAGATGTAAACTTCCTGGTTGGGGTCTTCGGGATGGTAAACACAAATGGCTGGAGACAAATGGCAATATGGCTCAAAATCTTTCTAAATGACTGGTGCAGATGCATCCACTCCTTGTGACTTATAATTTCCAGTAAAACTATATTGTTCTTCGATATTACTATTCTTTTTGCCTGATATCCCTGTCTACTGTTTTCATTATACATTTTTTGTGCTATCTGGAGTGTGGCGACTCGAACTGCTGCGCATTGGTGCGAAGCTCTATGTTGGCAACAGACAGACAGGCATCCTCTGATACTGATCGTTATATTTTTATAGTATAGTTCATTTTTCTTTCAAGAGCTATTGATTGACTAGATAACGATGTTGTCTTGAGTTTCAGTGAAAAATCTTGACCTTCGGTCCCCACCAGATTGGGTGCGAGAACAAATACACACGGATAACACTGGCTGGTCGTCGTGCTAAAATCACGAATTACTAGAAGTTGGAATCCATGGATCATCGATTTGGGTCTCAGTGTGTGAATGGTATATGAGCTTACCTTGTGGTCGAAAGGTTTTTGGTTCGAACGCTGGCTAGTTCGTACCACTGAGGAGTTCCAAACTAGCGCGGAGTAGCTGTGCAGTACCCCATGGTTTTTCTAGGTGTTCTATAACTGAAGCCAATCTGTGATCTTAATTGATTCATATGTATATTTAATGATCCGTTTACTACTTTTTTTCTCATTTTCATAGGATCTTGTTTCAGCTGATCCTTCGGTTGAAGAAATGAAATCTATTGTTTGTGAACAAGGTCTACGACCAGGTCTACCAGCTATATGGTCACAACATGAAATTATCCGAGCATTACAGGATATTATGAGTGAATGTTGGTATGCTAGTCCATCGGCTAGACTATCAGCAATGCGTGTCAAAAAATCTTTAGCTGCTGTACGCAAACAATTGGATAATAATCCAGCCTTATTAGAATTTACACCGAATTATCTGCCTGCTGAGGCTACAGATAAACTTCCTTTAGGCATAATACGATGTCCATCTGTACCACGTAATGGGAATAACAATAACAGTAATAACAGAACAAATGGTTTATTGCCAAATCTTACAAATAATGGTATTATACCTGGCAACAATGGTAAAGTACCATTTTTCACAGGCAATATTAATAATCTTGTCAATACTACCACCAATGTTTCCAATAATACTCTGACTACTACTGCTTGCTGCACCGGCAGTAATTGTTTATTAACTTCACCACCGACAGTAACCAATGCTAGCAATACCAATAAGAATTCTCATTGTGATAATGTATTATATTCAATAGACACAGGTTGTAGTGATGATGATGGTATCTCTTCTTCGCATTGGTCGAATAATGAATATGATAAGTTATTATTATTCACTACGCATAATTCTTCCCTCCATACAACTACTGTTACTAACACTAATACTACTAATAATAATTGTAATGATAATAATAATGATTTGAGTAGGGAACAATATGGTGAAAATAACCAAAAGCATTTATCAACTTCATCAATCGAACCCTCTTCGTTATTACGTAATCATCATGAAAACTAAAGCTGCATAATGATGATCAACTGGAAGGAGAATAAATAATGAAATGAAATGTGTGTCATCATCAGCGTCATCATCTTCTCCTTTGATGGTGATGATGATGTTGATAATAGTTGGACAGTGTAAGCAAAATTCACGCGGCTCCTGTGTGATGAGGTATCATTGTACCAGTGGTACAACACCAACAACAGCAGTAATAACACAAAAACACGTCAACAACAAATAAATATTTTCATCATTATTAGATGTATATGTACACTTGTACTAATATTCTTTTACCCTTTCCAATTTTAATTATTTATTTTTCGACTCTTTAGATTGTTTTATTTTGTGTGCTTAGCGCGTGTATAGCGCGCATGTTATTTTTATTGTGCATTTTATCCTTTCTCTGTGTGTGCGTGTATGTGTGTGTGCTTACGGTGTGTTCTACCTCTGGTGGTGGTATACACTTATGATTGTTTTGCTACTGTATATTTTCATATACTTTCTATTATTATTATTATTACCATCATTATTATTTTGAGAAGGAATATTGTTACATCATCATGGTGTCAATTAACAATTGCCTATGTTGATTGACATTATGGAAATTGTATAACTCTTATTTATAATATCTTGACGATAACTGAAACTGGTGATTTTAAATTATCCATTGTTATTATTAAGATTTATACCCAGTGAATACATGTATTAAAGAGTGTGTGTGTGTTTGTTATTGACCCTCTTTATTAACAGGTATCACATTATCTTTTTATATATTGATCACATCACTATTAGAGACTGTTGTTTAACTCTTGATCTCAGTGTAAATCCTACATCTGCAGATACGATGTGTACCTGTATCGCATCGTGTAGAGTTGATCCTCTTTAGTATTTATACCTACTCTATATTATTTATTAATTTATTTTAACTCTTTCTTGGTTGTTCTGTTTATTTTGTTCGTTTGTTTGTTTTACTTTTCACATGAGTGTTTATATGTTGTTTATTTTAATTTAATTTAATTCTTCTCAGTCTCTTCACACACTGTTTATTATCTGTTTTATTCGTCTTCGTTGTATTGTAAAAGAAAAGTCTTTCATTCATTCACTCATTGTTTGAATCAATCAATGATTGAATGAATGAGTCTGTGCGTTCAAATGTTGACTTTATTTATTTATTTATTTTATTCATTTTGCCTATCTTACATTTCTGGTCACATTATATTAAACTATTCACTTCACCACAAGTAGTAGTATCCATCTTGTCAGTTTGAAAATTTGTTTAGTTGTTCACATGTGTGAGAGTTTTGTGAGTTCACTGTTGTATAGAGAAGCAATGTAACCACTATCTATCTAGCTATATATTTGTCTCTTTTTCGTCTATAACAAAAAACCAGGATATATATATATATATATATAAGTTCAACATTTCTATACACTAGGTGTCTCATGTACTCATTTTCTTTCTTATGTGATTGTTTGTTTGAAGCAAAACTTTCAGTTTCATCATTAAAAGAGATTAAGCACACACTAAATCATATATGTATACATATATATATATCCGCCTAGATACTCATGTTCTGATGTTCTTCTGATCGATTGTTATTCTCTCTCTGTGTGTCTGTGTGTATACTGGTGATCGTAATATCTGCTTTTCTTTTTGCTATACTCCATCTTTTCTTCTATTATTATTATTATTACTTAACTGTTACTTCTTTGATATTTTGTTTTCTCTATCTATCCAAGTGAATAAGTAGTATGTGTCATCATCTTATCGCGTTGAGAATATTGATGAAGAATAATTTGTGTTATGTGTATGGTGTTGCGTGTGTGTGTGTGTGTGAATGTGTTTCTGTGTGTGTTGGGGGGGAGGGGGAGGGGGAGAAGATTTTGGCTTCTCTTTTTTTCCTATTTTACTTGAAATATATTTATTTTTACTTACGTATACACATTTTCTTTTTAAGAAGTGTCTTCATGCGGTTAAGTGATTTGATAGTGTGGTGAGTAATATTCAGGTTAGGCGTGGAGTGATAGGTAAGGGGGGGGGCGGGGAGGATATAAGTATAAAACTTGGGCACTGTGTGCTAGTAGAGTATAACTCAATTATGGATAAGATTTTTTTTTTGATAAAGTGTCACACAGTGGTGTTATACAGTAATATTAACTGATGACCACCTTTCGAGCACAAACTATTGCCACTCATAACCATGTCAACTTACTCACACAACTTTTTCCTTCATTTTATATACATTGTGTGGGATTGACTAGATATTTGAATAAAAATCAACATGGGATAATGTACATTCAGAAATAATAATAATAATCTGAGTGTTAACGATCAATTACAATCAGATGGTAAATAAGACGAGTGTTTTTATAGTCATATTACGTAACTTGTTAGAATGTTGTGATGTGCTTGAATTGAAATAGACTTTTGAGATTATTTATTATTCTATCCTACACACTAGCGTTTATAAAAAACCGACTCATTCTAATAGATATTTCGACTATAATTCATGTCATCCATTAACTGTCAAGGCTGACTTAGTTAAGTGTCTAACAAACCGAGCAGTAGCACAAGAAAAGACCTAAATGATGAAATAAAACAGATAGAAGAAGCGTTGGTATTGAATAACCATCCTATAAAATTCATTAGGAAGATCAAAAAAGGCCAAATGCAAAGTAAAAATAATTGTCAAACTAGTAGTGATAACATAAATAAGAAAGAATATAAGTTATCTACTGTTATACCAAATAAAGAGGAGACATCTGAGACCCTATGTAGGATTCTTAATAAAGCAGGAATTAAAGTGGCATTCAAACCTACAAATTCACTCAGAGACAAGGTCTAGGCTAAAAACCTAGTGGATCCAATTAAACAAAATAATATAATTTACGAAATACCTTGCAATGAATGACTATGAGGTCAACTATATACGTCAAACTAGTAGATCGAGGGTAAACAGAATATCGGAACACAAGAATTTAGCTAAGGTAAGAATGGTTGACCCTGAGAAGATAAGTAATTTAGAAAAAAGCTCAGCAATCGCACTGCATGCATCAATACACAACCACACAATAGGGTGAGAGAGAGGGTTAAGATTCTAAGAAGTAATCTATGTAGGTGGAGAGAGAAATTGATTACTGAATCCTGGTTCATTGGGTCTACACCCAACACATGCAGCGGAAGTGACTCAATGCAAATACCAGAAACATGGAAGATATTATTACCACCAGTCAAATCAGAAGAGAACAATAAATAAGAGAATAAATAATCTTAAAATTCTATTTCAATTCAAGCACATCACAACATTCTCACAAGTTACTTATTATGACTATAAAAACACTCGTCTTATTTACCATCTGGTTGTAATTGAACAATAACAGTCATAATATTATTTCTGAATGTACATTATCTCACATTGATTTTTAATCCAATATCTAATCGAGTCCACACATGTATATAAATGAAAGTTGTGTGAGTAACTTGATATGATTATGAGTGGCAATAGTTTGTGCTCGAAAGGTGGTCATCAGTTAATAATACTGAATAAGACTGTATGACTTATCAAAATAAAATCTTATCCATAATGGTGTTAAGGGGGAGGAGTCAGTCAATGAATTTGTGATGAGTGAATCAGTTGAAATGGCTAGAATACATATTACGCATGCTGGGCCATCGACTTCCTCGACGAGTGATGTTATCTAACATAGTACTAGAGGTGGTCAAACTAAGACCTGTCGTCAGTTCACGAAGTCTTTGACTGATGTAAGGAGGTACAGACTACCTGTTTGGAGTCGTTAGGAATCTTAACCAATAGCTAGTGATAGGGTTTGAAATCGTTTACAATGGCGTACATGAATTTACTTTCCATATTTTCTTACATCGATCAAATCCTGATGCTTTTCCATGTTACTATCCTGTCGTCCTCACAATTCTGCTTATTTTATAATACTTTTGAATCCCTTTCTTCTCTCTCTCTCTCACTTTGTCTACCTTTGTGTGCTACATGGTATATGGCAACTGGTGCTCTTCTGTGCAAGTATCTATCTTTCAGACTCAGCCAGTATTCTTGCGTTGGTAGTGGGATTCGCTTAAGAGATAAACTGGGCTCTAATATTAGTGTTCACGAGTTGTTCTAATCAACATCAAGAGTATTATATCGCCTTCAAGGTAAGCAGCCTATTATGTAGTGGTTTGGACATATGAATCGAAAGTGACTTATTATCTGTTATGTAGGCGGCCTTCAACTTTCTTCTGGTATAAGTGTGTATGTAGAATCTTGTGTATCAACACTCAGATCTAATCAATGCTTATTCGACTCGTGGGATATAACCAGTGATTGTGGTTGGTTGAAGGTAGTATTCTGAAGTTGTGAACCATTACTGTTTTGGACAGGACACTACTGTGTTTGATAATGCGTTAGGTTGTTTATTGATTTTCCACGGAATATTGATACTTTAATTTATCCCTTAAAAACAATCGATCAGCTATGAAGATATGCTGGTTAACGAAATTCCTGGCTAAGTACTTTTTTTTCTAAATGAGACGTTTTTGTGTAAAGTGTATTTCTGGTAGATGTAATCACTGCGTGATTTGAATTGCTTACAACTTTTCACTTAGCTTACTGGTTTACATTGTATGCTTCCAACCAGTGTGTTCTAGAATTACGGTTGAACTATGGAGATTTAGACGGTTAGTTCACAAAGCGATCATCTTGCTCGTCGAACAGTGTTAGCCTGATGACATATGATAAAGTTGGAAAAGAGTTAAGGCGTTGGTCAAATCAATCCATTAAGTCCTTGACTCTGCCTTTGAGCCGCACAGGGAGTGGATGCTAGCAGGCAATGGCTCAAAATCGTTCTCAATAGCGGAGATGCATTCGCCAAATTATTATCTTCCAGATTCTTTGAATCTTTATAAATCCCTGTGTAATTATTCTTCCTGTTCATTATAATTCCCTTGAATTAAAAAAATTTTTTTCTCAACCTTTATGTGCTACAAGGAATGTAGTAAATTGAACTTTTGCGTTACTATGGAAACTTCATTTCAATTTGTTTAGATGTTATCGATTTGATTGATTTCAGCATGAATTGGTCAATCATCGGAAACCAAGGATTACTCAACAGCTATTTTGTCGTGGTTTCAAACTAATGAACAGTAGCGTGATACTGTTCAGGCGTCTTGAAGTCCTTATGAAAAATTGTGGAATGTAGAGTTCACCAAGTTGGTTGTAAAGGCACATGTTCACTGATGTAGTTTGGATGGTACTGCTACTATACTGTGAACTGACAGGAGTTGGAGTCAGGGCATAGATGGGTTTTAATATGGCATCATTCAGTGAAATCCACAATAGTTAGTTTAAGCCTGGTTAGGATCCTAGGGACAGTAAAAACCAATGAAGACTGGAGACAATTGGCGATATGGTTCAAAATCTTTCTCAATGTCTGGCTGGTGCAGACGCATCCACTCCTTGCGACTTAGAATATCCAATAAAAATATATTTGTTCTTCGATATTACTATTCTTTTTGCCTCATATCTCGGTTTACTGTCTCTATTTTGCCTTTCTTTTTTACTTTCTTCTTTGGTTTTGTATGTTTCCTAGAGTGTGGCGACTCGAACTGCTGCACATCGGTGCAAAGTTCTATGTTGAAACCAAACAGACCGACGGTGTAAACTTTTCCGTGGATGATTGGTAACGCAGTCATACTTTGCGTCTATCATTTTCATTATTCTACTTTTTCCCTTCGTAAAACTGTGTTCAATAAATGGCATTTCTATTCAGCTGTTTATTGATTGATTGTGTATGTATAAAAGTTGTATTCCCAATGAAATGATGAATTTACTTCTGTCCAATGACTTGTTTAATATCAGACAAAACATACATACACATGCATGCATACATACAAACATTCAGTACTAACTAACTAGTTTTTAGCCAAAGAGTATAATGTCTGTCCAGTCATTTTATTATTATTATTATCACTAAATCGTCTAAAGAGATAGTTAGTTCCTGCTGTTGCTTATGTATTTTACGCTACACCTTCCTACTGTACTTCACATATCTTACTGTTAAACAGTATACACATGTCTATGCTCTAACAGTTTATGACTAGTGAAACTTGTATGGTGTTATCACAATGTTTTTTCTACATTTATGATATATGTTGTATATATTCACTCCTCAGATTGTTGTCATAACTGACCCAAAAAAATGACAAACAAAGTGTTCGGAAGGATGATACCATGTATATATATATATATATATATATATATATATATATATATATATATATATATATATGCACACAAACTACTTGTCTCTCTGGTCTAAATAATCAATCTTCTTTCTCCTGGTAAAATCCTAGTTTGTTTTGTATTAACAAAATTGATATGATCAGTGTATTCATAATAACTGCTAGCGCTTTATTTTAGTTATCGATTGTCCTTTGTATAGTTGGTTGTTACTGTACTATTGAATGCACTATTGTACCGTGTGCTACTGATAAGATTTATCAGTAGTATATCAAGCGACTTTCATTGGCATAAAAATATCCAGTAACAATAGGGAGACAGATTCGAAGTAAAAGACAGAAAATGATGATTCAGCGTTGTGACAAAACATTGGAGACGTGAGAAGGAAGACAAAGAAACACAATACGAAGGAGAGAAGTAGTACAACATGGAAGATCTGTGCAGACGATGATTTAGAGATAAGCTGTGTACATAATTTCCCTAGATAGAGATATCAAATCCCCAATAAAGATTCCTTCATCAAGTTTTTTTTATTTTCTACCGTTACACCATTACTAAATGTCTTCAATTTGGATAAAAAATGGAATGCATCTCACTTCCTAAATGCTAAAACATTCGTTCATGGATTACAAAAACTGTGTGGCAAGTTATTAAAGCTCTTTGGTTCAATTGAGAAATGCTCACTGGATAGTTATAAAGGTGGTTTGGATTCCTTTCCCCGTCGATGCACTAGTAAACCATGCTTAGCTGGTGGTAAT